GGATATTAATATCTTTCTAACTGGTGACATAATATATATTCGTTTTTAATATACATATACCAACCTTTATCTGCCAATTAAAACACACATGTATAGTTTGAGAATATTTTTTGTATAAAATGCAGAATGGAAAGAAAAGCCTCCACTTTTAGGAAATATTTGTGTATCTTTACATTATATTGAAAGCGATTGCGACTAGCTTACATCCAGATTAAATGAGTCATCTATCTGGTCGGTCATTGAAAGAAAGAAAAACATAACAGAGAATAATGAATGAGTGTAGGTTATGTATTGAATTTATTAAATGAGTAAAAAATAATGTTATGCGAAAAGGTTCAATAAATTTAGTAAATAAGAAATTTCCTAATTATTTGAGGGTCGGTTAATATTGTAACGCTAGCATTTAGCGTGACGTTGAGCTACCTTGACGCCAGATATTTGCACGACTTAGCCATACAGTTTTTTTATTTTAAACGAAAGGAACGTCATTATTTAATCAACAGATACATGCAATTCATGAATTTCCCTATCATGTTCTGGAGTTTTTCCACAAATGCCCCAACAAAAACAATCAGTTTCTTGAAAAAAAAATGTATTGTAGGTATCAGCAATAAAAGAGTGACATTGAAATTTGCTTATTAATTTCTTGTGGTAAACATTTTACCGACTATAAAATATAGCTTAAAATCGGATTTGGATTTCGATGTTTTTATCCATGCCGAAACCTTTAATGCCAGACAGCTCATGCGCTCAGATGACGTCTTATCTTTATGAAAGAACGGTTATAAAAATTACTACGCTACTATGAAAATAGTATTTACGAAGCATATGTAAGTGTTCATCCGTGCTGTTCTACAAAAATAAGAAACAATAATTAACTGCCTTTGATAACAGCTTTTTAATATATATTTTTAACACAACGTCAACAAGGATAATTACCCTCTTCAGAGCGCTTTTATATTTCTAAAATTTGGATCTAAGTAATTATAACTAATGCCTGTCTACTTTAAATGTTCATAGAAATTAACATTTGTTACTTGTAACTAGTATTTCCTTCTTTCATTACTTAATTAATTCATCCATCCATCCTTTCTGTTTCTTTTCATATGTATTTACATAGTTGTCATTATGTGGTCAAATGTCCCTGAAAAGTTTTATCTACTACATTATTTTGTAGGCTAGTGTAAGATACAAAATGTCTCAATTCTAAATGCTATTAACACATTGATAGTTTTTTTATATAGTCTTGAAAAAATCAAGGTTTTCTTTAAAACTTTAGGTCTTTTAACATTACCTGATATGGTTCCGTATGTATGATCTGCAGGTGGTCCAGTACCATCAGATTTTGTGGGACCAGAATTTCTTGTCCAATTAAAATAATTCGCCTGTGAATTGGTATAGCAACAGTCGCTGTCCTCAAAATAACATGACAATTGTGAAGCTTGCCCTATGGAAGCTACTGATCCTGTAGGAGTCACTGAACCTGTGTAAATAAATATGTATAATAAATAATTTTCATATAAACATATACATAAATAATCCATGTATCGTATAAATTATATAACCTCACTCGATGAGTAAGCAGTTATTTTAAAGCATGTGCCTCATCTGGCCAACCCTCAACTTTCATGTCTGATGAAATTTACAGCAAAAGCAATAAACTATTTTGTTCCCTATTGTTCTGTTTACGGCGAAGGCAAAAACAATATGTCTCACAATATTTTGGGAGACATAAGTCTATAACACCCGCACAGAGATAAATTGCTATATTCTACCGCTTAGCAGGTGCTGCAGTGGAATAGAAATGACATGAGGACAGTCAATTACAGCAAATACAGGTAAAGAGTATAAGAAAAGCTGTAGTTTCTTTGAACTACGTCCAAATTGCTAAACAGTGGGGAGAAAATTTTTTTGCAACAATTTGGCTTGTATCCAGTTCAGAACACGATCATTTAATATAATTTAACTTGACAGAAATGTGCACCAATTCATAATAATCAAATACTACTCATTGGACATAATGCATATTGGACTTTTCAGGATCTTCATATAAACGGCAAAAATAACCAACTCTTGATTTCAAAGCAAATAGTTATGTACTATGTTTTTAGAACAACAAATAAATTAATACTCTTTTCCTTAATGCCTGTTTCAGTCAGCTAACAGTTCTTGTTTGTTTGGGTTTTACGTGACATCGACACAGTATAGGTCATATCGCGACGTTCCAGCTTTACTGATGGAGGAAGACCTCAGGTGCCCTTCCGTGCATTATTTCAGGCACGAACGGGCACCTGAGTAGAACCACCGACGTTCCGAAAGCTAGCTGGATAGCTTCCTCACATGAAAGAATCCAAAATCCCTGTCGGGATTCGAACCCACAGCGGTGAGGGGCAAGTGGTTTGAAGTCAACGACCTTAACCACTCGGCCACGGACGCCCTGCTAACAGTTCTAGACCCTTGTCAGAGTGAAAGGGATGTCCAGGTGAGTATAGCTTTATACTAGTCAGATGACAAAGGCTGAGCGTTTCCATAGCGTAAGCGTTAAAGACGTTAATGTATAATAATGACAACTTACCATGCGCCTCCTCTTGCGTTTTACACAATAGGCACCAAACAACAATGAGTAACTTCATTTTAAAGTCTGATACATCCAATTCTGAAGTAACAAAACACCAATTCTATTTATACAATAGTCATTTATACAAATCCGAGGAAACTACAATAAAAGGAATAACTACAGAAAATATGAAGAAGATCACATTCTCACTGTGAATTTTTTTCACTAGGAGTGGTTAATGTTAAACCGGTGGAGAGGGAAGGGGTATGAGGAATTTACAACTTAGGGGATGGATGGTCTGAAAATTACACCAGGAAAACTCACTGTTTTAAGACGCAATTTACTATTTTTGATGATTGTTTTTGTAGAATATGTAAATGTTTTCCGACAGTGCCCTCCCAGTGACCAGGATACAGTAAACTTCATTATTGCAAACACTGTGATAGAATAAGATGTTTTTTTTCCACATTTTGCCATTCATTACCTTATATCAGAATATAATGTTATGGCGAACTCAGTGTTATATGATAAGGAATAATTGCTTACAAGGAATTCATATTTGATTAAAAATGCATGCACTGAAATTAACCTGTTTACAACGAACTAAAAAGGAACAGCATATTCATAGATCCTGATTTCTCTATATTTGTCTCCATTTGCATGCATTTGTGTTAGAAGTTGGTTGAATAAATTGGCATCCTTTTTTTTCAATAAAAACTTGTATACATATTGTTTTCATTTACAAATAGCATTGTACGATGTATGCTATATTTTTTATTTTTTAATTACACCTTTAACAATAACAGCAATCAGTTCAGGATATTTCAGAGGTGATCTAGGACAGTAAAGTGAAAATTACATCATACATCAAATATCATCACCTGGCAATATAATTGAAGAATCCAGTATTATAACCAAAGGGAAGTAAACCCTATTAGTGACAAGAAATATGAACGTTCAACAATATCTATGTATGATTCTTTATTGAATTCAATTTTCATACAGTTTGCAAAAATTTGAGAGACGTTACTGTGGTCTGTTTGATAGTTGCTTAATAATTTGTTTTCGTGTATTTGTTTACAGAAAAAAAAATCTAAGAATTGTTTATTTATTCAATCAATTGTTACCATTATTTACTTTATCAATTGTGCTTCTGTTTAGTAAGATTCTTCGTCATGATAAAAATGACCTTTGTAACTAGTACTAAGCTAGACCTAGCCTGTATATCTGTGTAATACTTATATACATGATACTGTTGGCTTGCAGTTTAATGGAAAGTCTTTTTCCATTTGCCCCATCTGCAGATATTTTTAATTCTGAATTTAGCACCATGTACATGTTTAAAGGGTGAGTTTTGCTTAAATTTGTGTCAGAAGAGTTGACAGTTGTTTGTATTTAGAATTGCTATCTTTGAAAAGCTCAATCATACAAGAGTGCAAACAGCTTGCAACATATTTGGGGAGACTATGCCGACCTATTGTTAAGACCGTTCTTTATTTCTTATTGCCGCGGTAACCAGGTCAAAAAAATAGTATCGTGATATTTTAAAGCTGACTCATCATTTATCACCGTTATCTACAAATTTAAACAAGTTTTTAATCTTAACCACTATATTTGCTTTTTGTAAAGTTTATAATTCTAAGAGAAACGCTTGGTTTAAACTTTTTGCTTTTCTTTTATTTTAAAATCACTACTTAAGTTTACTGCGACGGTAAATCGGTCATGCACCGGCCATAAATAATTCTGATATTTTAATCATTATACTTTTAACTACCATAACGGGAAATTAAAAACAAAACACATTATTGTAAAGTGCTGAATAAATGTTTAAATCTTTTGGCAACATGCTGTTATATTCATAATTTTAAAACAATTTTCCAATTACTACGCAGCGACCAACTTTGCATGACGGGTCATTAACTAGAACTTGGCAATTTTGATTGGGTGAAAATATAACTATTTAACTACAAAAAACCGATAAGATACACACAATCCTTGACCTTGTTCTCCTACAAAATTTAAGCACAAATACATTTACATTGGAGAAATAATAATCAATAGTAATATTTTCATCTCACGCATTTATCAATCAATGCCAACATAAAATTATCTTTAAAAAAGTATGTCTGGCAATCGATAGATTCCTACTTTGTCCTTTTATTTGCATAACAATAAATTTGAACACAAACATTGACATGTGCTCTTTTGTTTAGGAATATGTAGTACTATTTATCAAAAGGACATCACCGCTTTAGAAGTGTGTATATAAGGCAGCTATGGCGTTCTATAGTTGTACATACCATAACACGGAAAATAAAGTAAAATCGTATGTTATGACTTTCCGGCCATTATGACTAAATGTTTCAGGACTGTTTCTGAGTTTGAAAAAAAATTAATCTGCGAACTTTGGACGGCTGTACTAGTATGGTTTAATAAATGCCTTTCTTTCATAATCAAAAAGTGGACAGCGAGGGATATAGTGAAAAACATCACCAATATCACAGTGTGCAAAATGAACATTTATTTAACCGCACGGTATTTTTGAAATTGGGCATGACCCAGTTTCAATAGGGAGCCCGTTATTTTCTGATCTTAAATGGAATAGATTTAAACGGTATGGTATTAAAGTATTAAGCTGACATGTCATTTATTGTTAAACTGTTCGGTCATTGTATGTTTAACTAAAATAGATATATTTTTTAAGTCAATTGTCTTTTGGTTAAGTCAACTATAAGTATAACAGGTGTAATCATAATTGATTTAACAGTATCGATGATCCACTTAAAATTAACGTGTTTTGAGTTGAGTTGAGTTGAGTCTAGGTCAGTACTAGTAACATAGGTTTATTTTATTATTAAGTAAAATATGTTATTGACAGTCCATCCCTTTGCTTTCTCTTAGATAAAAGTAAATTATCAAATATATTCAATATGTCATGTAAAATCATTTTTAGGAATTTATGTGCGTTAGGGTACGCATCTGTGAATTTTATTTGGGGGTATTGCATTTTGCAATTGTTATTTATTATTCAGGCCTTATTTTTTCTTCTTATTTACTTTACTGACTGATTAATATAATTTTTAAACAATGAAATTTGGGACTACACCCAAACCAAAATAAAAGCTTGCGGAAAGCTTGATGCAAGCTTACCGCAAGCTTACATTGACTATTGATGCTTTTTAAAGCTTGCTGCAAGCTTGTTAGTAGTTTCATACAGAAATCTGCAAGCTTACACTTACTATGCAAGCTTGCGCAAGCTTACGTGTATCATTTTTATTGCAAGCTTGCGCAAGTTTCTTAGAAAATTTTGAGTTTTGAAAATGCTGTGAAAGCAGGAAAAGGAAAGATACTGAAAATTTACAAAAGTACAAAAAGTTGGAAAAAATTATAAAAATAATTTCACTCAAACTAATCGGCATTTATATAATATAATGGGATTCAAATGAAAGCATTTATTTCATAGATTTTATCTGCCTGTCTTTCATTTTATGTTTTAGATTCATATCACTTTATCAAAAGTTTTAATTACTGTCATTAAAATTGTTATAATTTTCTCAAAATTATTAGACGCCGCTTGCAATTTTATTTGTTATCCAATTTATTTTGATTCGACCAGACGTTTCAGTCTTTGTCGCAACAGACAAACATTTTAGAATTTCAGACCTGGCATTATTGTGTGAATTTATGCATTATGTTCTACTTTTTCACAAAAATATGCAACTTTATTATTAAACAACGAGCACATACCAAGAACATGGAGAAAAAATTGATTTGTGTTCGGATATTCAACGGTAATAGAGAACGATTTTCAATGCTGATTGACTGTTCACATTTTTTGACGGCGTCTTTGATGTGCAGCATCAACATTTAACTTGTTAATATATGCCATGTCAAAAACTAGAGAACACTTGTGACAATCAGATGATGTTCATAAAAAAATCAGCCAAAATTAAAATGAAAGAGGAAATCAAGTGTGTTTCAAATGTAAGCTTAATTATAAATTTTAAATAACAGCTTCCAACAAAATTAAACTAAGATAAAGTCAGTATGTTAAATTAATTATTATGCTCCTGCATGAATGTGAGAAAGCATATGATTATTGGTATCATATATTTATTATATGATGCACAATGACATAATTATATATAACAAATATAATCAAATATGAAAAATGAACAACAAATGAATGGTTATTTGATATTATACTCCTGTAAAATTATTGAATGATAGTAAAGTAAATTCACATTTCTTAACAATTGTGAACATACAAGCAAATATAATGAACATTATATATTGTCTAGTGACTGATTGTTTTTTTTTTATTTCAATCTGTTTTATTTGTGTGTCTTTGAAGTTTTGATTCATTTGCACAAGTCGACGCAGGGCTAGCACAACCCCCCTTACCCCTCCCCTGGGTATTTTTGTACACCTATATAATATTGAAGCTTAAGGTATATGCAATCAATTAGCACTTGTTGTTTAACTGAAACGTTTACCATGAATCCATCCAATAGAACAAGTTGATTATCTCCCCTTTATATCTATTTTTTTTTCTATATAAGATTTCTTCATAGTTTGTGATCTAAAAATTGTTTTGAGTTGTAAATATATATATATTTATGATTTATACAAAAGTTTTTAGTTTTAACATAAAAAATCACATAATTAATGGTGTCCGCCTTTTTAAAATGGCCGCCAATTATTGACCAGAAAAAATATTCATAACAATATTTAATGTGTTGATACCCATCTATAAATAGTTTGATGTAATTATTAATTATATATGCTATGCTTAGTGAAACTAACTCTATGCTAGGTATTGAATTCTAAATAGTCTGCTCTTGAATATTATTTAAATTTTATAGAGATATGAACCATAATTGTTTGGGGTCGAATTGAGCCGCCTTTAGAGTTCGAAAAGATACTTTTAATCGAATTTCATGAGAATTTTGACTTTTTGCCCTCTCTAGAAAGTTAATATACTCTCACTTATATGAGAAACAATTTGAAAAATTGGCAGTTGACTTCTCCGTTCCGTTCCTGCTTCTTTATAACCATATGACTATATTGAATTGTAAAGATTACCCGTACCACAATGACTATTTGACAGAAAGGCTGCTCGTTAAGTTCCACCAAAGGAAACTGTTCTTACTTTTATTTTATTTAAAATAACTTAAGCCTTTAGTTGGTAGTTTCATTGTTATTAGAATAATAATTGAGATTAATGTATTACATTTCATTAACATTGTTACTTCCATTTAAAAAAAAAACATTATAAAGTTACTTCCCCTATTTTCATTGCGCCATTAGAAATAAAAAGGCAGACAAAATAATAGTATGCTTCTCCCTTAAAATCAATTATTTTAGAGTGATTTTGTTGATTAAATCTTTTTTGAAATGCAACACAGCATATGACAGCATAAGACACTGATGAATCATTTTAAACATTGTCAGTCATACTCTCAGATTTTGGAGTTGGAAACTATATAACAGTACTCTTGATTGGGACATTGTTCTCCTTGATGCAATTTCTTCTTAATGCAATTTGGTTTAAACATATTTTTATTCAAGGTGATATATAAATGTTAATAATTAACAATTTAAGCAGAAAGGAATTGGACCGAGAGCTACAATAGCTCATGGTAGTCCTCTCCTTTAACAAAAGCAATATGTTCATATAATACATGGCTTATCATAATTTTAATTAAACCCTATATGTAATTTGATAACACATTTGTGCTGGGACCATTTCCATCTAAATAACAACCCATACTGCACATGGAATCGTCATTCAAGAATGAAAACAGCCGTAAGATGATGATGATGACACTAAAAGAGAACAAACATCCACTTATATATCAAATTTACAGGCGACTAAGGCACGAATTGTTACATACAATCCTGAAGAATTGGCTGAATGCTTAATTACTGGGTTATTTCGGTTTTGCTGTTTCATCTGAATTTCTCTTGTTCATGTGTACATGACAAGCAGATTTTTCCAAGTTGGGCAAGCTGGATCTCTATAACCTCTGAGTTGCAAGATCAAACATCCTCTACAAAAGAGTACATGCCTCTTATTAATGCCCAAAGAACAAAAAATGCCACTGTTCAGAAAGTGATTCAAGACCTGTAAACCAACAGTACAAATTTGTGACCTTTGATCCGTGAACAGGCTTAATCAAACCGAGCCTGAAACATTTTCAATTATGCCGTGTTGGGCTTTCTTTAGGGATTCTTATCTTCTCTATTTGATTTGGCTGCTAAAAGGCATATTCTATAGTATGGAAAATCCGACTAGACTAAGTTCAGTGATACTATCACACATTTAGGGGTTTTTCGTTTGCTAGGTTCATATCTAGGGGCGATTGACAAACGGCTTCGTGGAAGTGGTTTCTCAGAAATCCCGATAGAGTAGAGTGAATGTGTTGACAGTTGAAACCACGAAAGACTGCTTTTTGAAGAATTTGTAGCTGCAGTTATCCAAATCCGCCACCCTTGTATATTGGAAAATATCAACCAAGCGTTAAATGTGCAAGCTGAGAATCGAAAACGTGGACACCTTGAAGATGTGCTAGCATCAAGAGTTCAAGGAAGACGTCAGAAAAGGTCACTTAGGGAAGACCGCACAGTTATGAATGGATTTATTGTTAAGATTTGGCTGTTTCTTCGCTTTATGAGACCCACGAGGAAAATGATCTTGACCTATACATATTAACATTATAAAATATGCCACAATTTTTTACATATGATCATCAAAACTATGCAAAATATCTATCTGTATGTGTTCTTATGTTAATAAATTGATTCAACACACCCAGGATCAAGAAAGCTTCTTCAAAATAACGGATTCAGAGTAAGCAGATCCAATGTGCCTGGCTCCCGTAATGCTGTTAATATAACTATTTAGCAAATAATAAGCAGACATGCAAAGTCTCGTAGAGGCATAATAGGATTCAGCAGAAACACTGCTGCCTACTACAGATGGAATCAAACACGACACTCGAGAGCAAGCTATGTTAAGGCTACATTCCTCATGGCCGGCATTCATCAGCAAATTCTTCTGTATATGTTAGCGTGCAAACTTTGTGACAGATACGTACAAAGCAGAACTTATCAAATCTGCAGAAAGGCCACGAAGAGGATTGAGTGATACATACCTGATGAAAGGCAATAAAACCAAAGTTTTGCAAGAATGGAAAGTTTTTTTTGGTAAAAAATTATAAAAATAAGAAAAAATTGATAAGATTGATATTAGAGGAATTGTCTCAAGATAAATTTAAAAATGCACGGAAATTGGACGAAAGGAGAATCTTGTACTTGTGAAGCGACATGTGTATGCCTCAAAAGTGAAGATGAAAAAGTAGAAGAAATACAAAATCCAGATCTACATACGTCTCAGGAGGAAGCCGATACCAGAATTATGCAACATATGCAACATGTGTCTGAAAATGATGACAAAGCAATAATTGTACAATCTCCTGATACTAATGTTATGGTAATACTTAGTACTTCTAACGTAAGCACAGTCTATCAATAGATTAATTCTATTTGGCACTGGTGTGGCTAATAATAGAAGACTGTTGAAAGTAAATGAAATCATTGATAGACTAGGAAAAGATATTTTCAATGCATTGATTGGGCTACATAGTTTCACCGGATGTGATACCACAAGCCCTTTTTATTGAGAAGAGGGAAAATTAAAGCTGTAAACATTTTTTTCAAAATAACCTGAATATATACCTATAACCAGTTTAAAAGTGAATGCGCGAGAGACTTGATATTCAAGAAGAAGATTTCAAAATATTTGAACAGTTTGTTTGCATGTTATACAGGAAAGACATATAAAGTGACATAAATAAGTTGCGCGTTGACATTTTCAGACAAAAGTTTAGACCAAATGCAAACATACTTACAATTACCTATGGTATTGACGTGCGTTTAAAACCACCATATCTTTCAACATTAAAGATGCATATTTTTAGATCAAATTACCAAGTATTTGTGTTGTGAAATGCCTTTTGTCGTTTTCCAACTATTCCAAGTCCTGATGGATATGGGTGGAATACTGGTACAACCGGAGGTCTCACATATACATTGTACCTGGACAGAGGGAAATATACTACCACAAGAATAAATTGAAATCATAGCTAATAAAAATGCTAGTGAGGTGTTATAAGATGATTAAAATGAAGAATGTGATCTAGAGAAAATTGAGATGGAAATTTTTATTTATGTCATTTTCAGAGAAGATTTCGAGTAATAATTAATAATGAGACTAAAAGCTGTATTGTAAAACATTGGAAAAAGGGGGGTAATTAGCATTATAATTAAACAAAATTGAACAACAAAAGTCTATTTAACTTCAATAATATTTATACACACAACTTTTTATAATTAAGTGATGTTTTGCTTTTTTAAAACAAAACCACAAAGTCTATATAAACAACAGGTAAATGGCGGCCATTTTGAATTTTGCGGCCATTTTGAAAAGTCATAACATCAATTAATTATGAAGTAAATTACATAAGAGACCTTGTCTATGATCTTAAACAAATAAAGTTTCCTTCTAAAAGGAAAGGCTTGCCCAGTTGTGCCATCATCCCATCCCTTTAAAAATGATTTTATTTTGAAAACCCCCCTAAGTCAACTCTTTATGATAAAAATATAATTAAAAAAAAATAATAAAATGACCTTATATACCAGTAAAAAACAAGGTACCTTTTTACAGGTATAGATGGTCAATTTATTATCACTATTATTTTTAATTATTTGTATATCATAAAGGGTTTATTTAGTTTTTTTTTTTTCAAAAAAAAGTTTCACTTTTAAAGAGGTAGGTAGGGTAACCCCAAGACTGGACGAGCACCTGTGACCATTTGTGCCACCAGTGTTATGCATGCCAAATTTGGACAAAAGAAGGACCAGAAGTCCACTGATTATAACTGAACCGGAACTTGCTGACGATAACAGTAACAACTTGTTTTTGTAAAAACGAATATTTTTTGTAAAAAACGATTTGAAATCTATTCTCTATTGTATAAAGCTAATTAAGAAAGAATAATCAATCGTAATAATACTAACATTGGCTCTCCCACGTGGAGGAAATAAAAGTATATATATCTATCATACTGACCAGAGAGAGAGTCACTCGTTTTGGCAGTTGCTAATTTCATTTAAATAGCAGCCTTATAGACAATTAAAATGCACTTAAAGACTTTGTTACGTGGTACCAATTAATATGCATGTATCAACTATGTTACACCTAAAATATCTATGATCACAGATATACCGACAACACAGGATGCGCTATTTGTAGATCAGCACGTGATATGCATGGGATATTTTTAGATGACGTTATACTGTAGTTTTAACTCCACGTTAGAATTGCGACACAGTAGACGGAATTCTACTACAGTCGCCATTTTGTATTGTATAAAACTAATGAAGACAAAAATCAATCATAAAAGAAACTAACTTTTGCGTCTTGAAAACGAATTGAAACGGAACATTTTCGTTTATAATTTATTTCTTCCTTCTACTTACGTTTTAAACCGATTAATCAAGTAAAATAAAAATAGAAATCCTATTTATATAGACAAACTGGGATTACCGAAGTAAACAAAAATAGCTTTGATTTCCGTAATATTACTTCGTCTGATTCCGCAGTATGACGGAATCGCCCGAATTGTCACGATTGCAGCGGAAACCTAGACTGGTTTCCCGTTCCATCATGCACTAACAAATGTAAGCAGGATACAACCTAACTGGAACAACTTTTCCAAAACAAATGGCTTGCGGCCGTCAACTGACCACATAACAATTCATTTGGTTAAAACATTAATGGTTGTTTCAATTAGGCTGTTTATTAAGAAATTGTGACAGGGGCAGATAATTCAATTGGCTTGTGTCTTAATGGTAAACGTTTCAGTCAGACAACAAGTTGCAAATATCTTCCCATATGTTTATCTTTTAAACTACATGGGTCCCATAAAATACCCAGAGGGGGTAACCATTTTCATTTCTAGCTCACTTCTAAAGCACAGACACTTGGGGTTTGGAGCTCAAAACGCCTTTAAAATCCAAATAAAATGCATATTTGTCAATCCCAGCACATGTACTGATCATATATATCAAAAAACTTAATATAAGCCGTTTTGAAAAAAAATCATATTTCAACATCTATAATATTATCAAACATATGCATATGTCAAAGGAATGAGCAGATCAAGTACAAATGTGGTCATGGTTCTATGATTTGTGGCAGAGTTATGCCCCTTTCACTTTGAAAAATACAAATGTTTTAGTTTCGTTAATTGTCTCCCCAAAAGTTGTACATATTGAACTGAAATTTAATATATGGATAAGTTATAGGAATACGCAGGTCAAGTTTGAATTTGATCATAGTTTGATAGATTTCTGACAGAGTTATGCCTCTCTAACTTTGGAAGAAATTAGAGTTTCAGTTTCATCACTCGTACTTTTGTGGGAATTAGTACCCATTATTTTGGCTACAAATTTGCATCATATGCAATTTACAAAAGGTTGAACTTTGTATAAAAATGGTTTGTGTTAATATTGAATAGTTTTAAGGACTTTAAACTTAAAATGAAAAAAAAAAATTGTGCAAACAAATTTGGAACTAAATATTATAACATCTGAAATTTTGGTTGCATGCGGGGGCATCCGTGGCATGATGACACATTTCTAGTGTAAAGAATCACACATAGATAAAATTAAAAGTTCATACTTCTGGTCACTCATTGACAAATTTATAGAGAGTTTACTTCCCTTTGATTATAATACTAGACTCTTCAATAATGTACCAGATGATGATATGTTTTTTCACTTTACTGGTCTAGATCACCTCTGAAAAATCATGAAGTGATTGATGTGATTGTTAAATGTGTAATTAAAAAGTAAAAAAATATCAATGATATATTGCAACCATCGAAATAGGCTATATGTAAATGAAAACATATATGTGTACAAGTACTTATTTTAAAAAAAGATGCCAATTCATCAATCCATCTTCAAATACAATTGCATGCAAATGGAGTCAAATGTAGAGAAAACAGAATATATGAATATGCTGTTCTTTTTTAAATTCGTTGTAAACATTTATTTTCAGCGCATGTATTTTATTTAGTCAAATATGAATTCCTTGAAAGCAATTATTTTTAACATAGAGTTAGCCATAACAATATTTTCATATATAAGGTAGAGAAGAGTAAAATGTGGGCCAAAACATCTTATTCTATCAAAGTGTTTGTAATTTGAATTTACTGTATCCTGGTGTATTTTTCAGAACATCCATTCCTCATACCTCTTCCCTCTCCGTCGCATTAACTTAACCTACACATAACCACTCCTAGTGAATAAAATACAGAGTGTGGATGTGATCTTCTTTTACATTTTCTGTAGTTCTTCTTAAATTGTAGTTTCCTTGAATTTGTTTTACTTGTTAAATTCTAAGAGATAAATGCCTATTGTATAAAAAGAACTTGTGTTTTTTTTGTTATTTCAGAATTGTATATATCAGAATTTAAAATGAAGTTACTTATTGCTGTTTGCTGCTTATTGTGTAAAGTCCAAGTGAAGGCGCGTGGTAAGTTATTATACATAAATGTCTCTTAAATGTCATTTGACCGGTATAAAGGACACACATGCACTCTGACAAGGATCTAGAACTTTAAGCTGACTGTTACGCAGGCATTAAGGTAAAGAGTATGGATTTATTTGATGTTCTAAAAACATAGTTCATAATTATGTGCTTTGAAATCAAGAGTGGATTATTTCAGGCTTTTATATGAAAATCCTCAAAATTCCATTATGCAGTATGTTCAATGTGTTGTATTTGAAAATAATTAACTAGTGCAAAGTATAATGTCGTAGCAGCCGTATGCGCTGATTCATTTTTTTAAATTTGAGTAAGAATAAAATATTTTGGTTCGTTTACTTACTGTGCTATTCGTTTTTGGCAATACCGTTGCACAGATTCGGCGTCAATCTTCCGTTATTTGCACATTCTTCGTTACTTGATATGCACGTGTTATATCAAGAGGGCAACTTTGGACCCAATTTCCCTGTCACACCAATAGTTGGTGGTTGAAAAACCTGGTTTTTTCGCATTGCGGCGCTTCTTGTTTACATGTATGTATTCACTATGCAATTTTCGTCTTAAACTACTAGATACTGGCTGCACTATGTCCTTGACCACAAATTCACTTGACACTACATGAATTTATCGCAAAGTTTAATTGTATAGAAACAAAAAAATGACCTACATAATCACTGTTCCCACAATTTAGTTTTTGTATTATGTAGTATCATAGCATTTTGTCACAAATGCAATCTTGTTGGAACAGTCACTCATCAAATTTAGAGATAAGGAGATAACAACTTGAAATATGTCAGTCAAGAGAAATGGGCCTGGCTAGACTGCACAAATGTATAGTCCTAAATCTTGTAATTTTATTTCATGAAGGATTGGGCTCAATCAAAATGTTCATCATAACTATCAGGAGCTCAGGTTAAGTTTTACTAAAATATAAAGGGCTGACTAAATTATAAAGGAATATATAGATTATGACAATAACAAAAATATGCTTAGCATCCCAAAAGGCTTTTGATTTTTTAGATTAGGCATTTATTTCTAAAACCTGTTTTATTTTGTTTGGAAAGTTTTAAAGGAATTACATTGAATTTCAGATAGGAGAAAACATGCGTGCGTATGTACATGTGTGTGTGTGTGCGCGCGCGCGTGGGTGCGTGCGTGTGTGCGTGCGTGTGTGTGGAAGAAAATAAATTGGGTTTCACACTTTTGCCCAGAAGATAACAAAGAAATAAAACTTTAAAAAGTTATTACAACATACACTTTTTTCAAAACGGTTTGACACGGAAGACCATCCAGCTACTATCTCTTGCATGTAAGCTTGCTGATTGCCATCTGGAAAAGTTAAATCTTTAATAATTACTGTTATTTATTTTTAATCAATTTGAAATTGAATTAGTATTTGTTTCAAGGGCTTGCTGATGTTACACTAATCAATATCATGTGAATAAATTACTTTGAAATTAGCTATCATGCAACTTAGGTATCATGATTGTCAATTTACTAATGCAAAACTCGCATACCTAATTCAGTATTATTATTATAATTATTATATTATTACCCCATACCTCTGACCCATATAGTAAAATTGGTGCTATCATGGAATCAAAAAGTTTAAGTTTTGTTTTAATGTCTAGACTAATATTATCGAATAAAGACTATAAATTGTTGTAGGCTCTCAGAGCTTGATCGTTTAATGATTTTACTGCACCAGACATATTACCAGTATATGTAAAGCGGACACCTAAATAAGTAAAGTTATCAACACATTCAATTTTCTTTCCATTTATAACAAGAGCCATGTCAACATGGCCATCCCCCGCCGAATGTGTTTGCACATTGGAAGAATGTTTATGTAGTAGAGCAGAATAATTTAATTTCAAGAGGTCTTTTGGTAATGAAACCTGATGGCTGAAGTGATTACAGATTTGAAACCTATGTGACTATTGATGGCTGAAAATAACAAAGGGCAATAACTAAATAATAATGAATGGTAGGTTATCACTTTTGTGTGCTGCACCCCTCCTCAGTAAAATCTATCCACCTTTGAAGTTTCAAGTTGATACCACAAATATGTTTGGAGATAAGCTCCGGACAAAATAGTATGAAAAAGAACAAAGGGCAATAACTCAAAAATTATATAGGGAAGAGTTATTATTCTTGCACACAGCATTCCTCCTCAATAAGATCTATCCACCTATGACATTTCGTGTTGACATCTAAAAACTTTTGAGTTATGCTCCATTCAGGTGATAAATTAAGTGTGAAAAATAACAAAGGGCAATAACTCAAAAAGTATTAAAGGTAGAGTTATCATTCTTGTGCACTGCACACCTCTTGAATGAGATATTGGCACCTATGAAGTTTGATGTTGATATCTCTAAGGCCTTTTGAGTTATGCTCTGGACAAAAATTAATTTTGAAAAATAACAAAGGGCAATAACTCAAAAATTATGCATGGTAGAGTTATCATTCTTAAGCACTGCACTCCTCCTTAATGAGATCTATCCACCTATGAAATTTCATGTTGAAATCTAAAACACTTATAAGTTATGCTCCACTCAGGTGAAAAATTAAGTATGAAAAATAACAAAGGGCAATAACTCAAAAATTATGAAAGGTAGAGTTTTCATTCTTGTGCATTGCGCACCTCCCGAGTGAGATCTATGAAGTTTTGTGTTGATAACTCAAAGGCTTTTTGAGTAATGCTCTGGACAAAAACTAATTTTGAAAAATAAAAAAGGGCAATAACTGAAAAATTATGCAGAGTAGAGTTATCATTCTTGTGCACTGCACTCCTCCTTAATGAGGTCTATCCACCTATGAAGTTTCAAGTTGATACCTCAAATACATTTTTAGATATTCTCCGGACAAAAATGTCGGACGGACAGACGGACGGAAGGTCGGACGGACGGACGGATGGATGGAGACTATTTCTATATCCCCGCCGCCTTTTGTTTTATTAACATTAATTTTGAGATCCATTTTTCAGAGAAGTTATATATCTGGTCTATTTGAGATTGCAAGCTTGTTGGATCGGGAGTGAATAAAACTGTATCATCAGCAAACAAAATTAAATACATTGATAAAAGTTCTAGATCCTAATATGTCATAGTATCAAAGTTCAAATTCTCAGCAATGTTATTGATAAATAATGTAAATAACATGGGAGATGATGGGTCGCCTTGCTTTAATCCTATTGTAACATAGAAAAAGTAAAAAATAACTCCATAGTGTCTGATATTTGTTACACATGATTGAACATTATTATTGAAGTTTAATCATATTTGTCATTTTACAGCTAACGCCTGCTTGAATAAGTTAAACCCATAGGGCATCTCTATATACCGAATCGAAAGCTCTTTGATAATCAATAAAAACGCAGAATAATTTTGACTTTCTAGATAAAACTTTTTGAATTACAGCATGAAATAGAAATAAAGCATCAGCTGTAGAACGACCATCACGAAAACCAAACTGCGTATTATTAAAAATATTCTCGGTCTCGCACCATTTATTAATACGATTTCTCAATAGTTGAGAAAATATTTTACCAATACCATTTACCAGTGTGATTCCACGATAATTTTGAGGGGTTATCTCTATCCCCCTTTTTATATATAGGGACATCACACTCTTGATCCAGGCTTCAGGATATACACAATTATCAAATATATGATTAAAGACTGTACATAAATATGGAGAAATGAAATTCTTTGCGTCAATAAAAAAGTTGGCAAGGTAATTATCAAAATCGCCGCTTTAATAGCGGTTTAACAATGAAATAGTTTTTTTTGATTTGATTACATGTTATAGGAAAATCTAACAATTCTACACTATGGACATTTTTTACGCTCACAATCATACGCTCCTGGGTCAAACTGACCTTGGGGTTCATTTGGAATAGTTGAAAAATAATTTTTAAAAAATCATTTAAGTTTATATCATTGTTGTTCGAATTTGAGCATTTGAATTTTTATATTCACTTCAAAAATTTTCTAGGGGACGATTAACTCATTTGTGACAATTTATTTTTTTCTGAAATTTACATTTTGCTTTCCGTTTACAATTCATATAAATTCTTCTGTTTTGCAAAAAAGTTAATTTGAAAATTCAAAATTCAAATTTCAAAATCATATAAGGGAGAATTAATAACAACAACAACAACAACAACAACATAAACGTTTATTCATGTCAGGCTCATATACAGAGCAACATGACAGAAAATAAAGTTTTAAACATTGTACTGGTAATTAACATGGGGACAGTGATAAAACAAACAAAAAAGACAAACAAACAAAAAATACACATTGACAAAGTTAACATAATAGTTTACTGTGAGTGAGAAGACGTTAGCGTTATGATTTGAATCCGATTTGCATGACAGAAACATAAATGCTATATTGAAGGTGATGAAAGTAAATATTTGTCAACACAGGTTAAATCAGTCAATGTTGATTGGCAGACCAGTATGTTTACATACGCTATATATAGTAATACAAAAAACTACATAGTGCACTGAAATGGGAAAATAAACAATGAAACGTCAAATTCGTATGTAACAATTTAACAAGATCAATGTGTAAATGTAGTAGTGAGGTTGTTTTTCTAGATAAATAAAGTATCTTCGTATATAAAAACAAATTGAATAGGTAAATTCAAATCTAACGGGACAAACTGAAAATAATACACCGTTGAGAAGTAATTTTTATAATTTTTACTATAAATGTCCTTGGCGCATGGGAAGCACGATTTTTCATTCATAGAAAATTTCATTCATTCTAAGGTAGGCGTGGCCAGGACTGAAGGTCTTTCGGCGTAACCAAGCAACGGTGTGGTCGAAAATCGAGCTACAAATCAAAAGTGCTTGCGTACTAGTCAGAGTGAAAATTAATGAATGGATTTATTGTTCATAGGAATATTTTGTAATAAGTGGATGTGTTTGCATCGGTGAGTAATACTGATTTAGAAAAATAATAATAATAAAATAATAG